AGCCGGCGTGCTGAGCCCCGGCCGCCGGCCCGGCATGGGCGTCTCCCGCGGGCCCGGCGCCGGCCGGGGCTAGGGCCGGATGGAGCCGCGGGATGGCAGCCCCGAGGCCCGGAGCAGTGACTCCGAGTCGGCCTCCGCCTCGTCCAGCGGCTCCGAGCGCGACACCGGTCCCGAGCCGGACAAGGCTCCGCGGCGTCTCAGCAAGCGGCGCTTCCCAGGGCTGCGGCTCTTCGGGCACAGGTGAGCGGGGCGGCGGCGGGGTGGGCACCGCGGCACGGGTGGATGCCGCGCCTGGCATCGGGAGGCATTCCTCGGCCACCTCGGTACTGACACGGAGCGGGGTCTCCTGGGGCACCGGCGATCTGAGCTGTTCTGGCATTGGCTCGTGTGAGGGTCATCCCCCAGCGTCCGGGCACTGGCACCGAGTGGGGGTCATTCCCTGGCACCGGCAGCTTAGCGCGCTTCGTCTCTGGTACTGAGGCCAGGGGGGCTTCCAACTCTCCAGCAGGGAGACAGAATCACCTTAACCCCCTGGCACCAGCAGGTAGGGCCCCCATGACTGGTCACGATCTCCTTCTTGATTGACACTGATGGAACAGGGCCCTCTCAGAGTCTACTGGCGCCAGTGAGGTGGGCAGTCACGTCGCCACCCTGGTCCTCTCTGTGGTCGGGATGCCTACCACCACTGCACGGCATCCGCAGAACATGGCCTTGTTGTTACTACTGTCAGAACACATGCCTGTCCTGGAGCATTGGTCACTGACTTAATCATTCAGCATTTTAAGCCTCTCCTTGGGGTTGGGGGTGGCTGGTCACCAGTTTTATACTGCTCTTAATTAGGAGGAAGACCGCAACTTCTCTGCCAGGCAATGAACATCTCTCCCCCTACCCTCTTCCAGGCCTGCTGGGAAAGAGATGGGGTGGGCTACAATCTAGAATCTGTGCTGGCTCAAGTTCCATCTTGCCCCCTCCCCCAGCACACCAAATGTCACCATCTTGTGTCTGTGACGATTTTGACTGGGACTCTGGTGAAGAACGGGGGGGAGGCTGTGGAAAGATTGAGTGCAGGCAGCCCGTGGTGCTGGCGTTGGCCAGGAGCTGCTTCCTGCCTATGCAGCCCTAGTGTAAGGTAAGGGGAGGTGAAGCCTTGTGCGTACCCCCAGCTGGCTCCCTGGGCTCTTTTCTGACTGACCTTGTCCTTCTCCAGTGGCCACGAAGCTTGCAGCCAATCAGCTCAGGACCCCAGAGCCAACTCAGACTGGACTCTGACCACTTGGAGTCTGCCCAAGGTCTCCCTCTCACTTTTCTTCAGTTGTTGAGGCTTCATGGCCGTTGGCCCCCCGAGCTTTGCCCTGTCCCTTCCCAGAGGTGACTTCACCCAGCAATAACATGAGCAGTTTTCTTCTGTATGGGTTGGTGTCCCTGTAAAGCTGACCTATGCCCTCTGCCTGCCTTACCCTAACCAGGACCCTGCTCTTTGCACCTGCACTGTCACCAAGCACAGAGAGCTGGATCCTCACTCTGGCAGATGGAGCTCCATAGGCTCCTGTGAAGTCACGCAGGCTTCAATGTCATAAAAAACAGGGCAGGGCGCAAAGTTTCTTGTACCTCTGTTTTGTCACCCACAGCCCTGCAAGAGGGAGCAGTTTACACCCAGCTCTGCAGGATGTAGCCTCCAGTGTTCACAGGCTTGTGAGGGAGAGGGAGGGGCTCCGCCAGAGGCTTCCTGTCGCTGCCCACAGGGTACCAAGTGTTGGGCTATTCTGACCTGTTCATGTGCCCCTTCTGAAGGGCACAGGTGTGCGCATGTAGGGGTGAACCTCAGTCACAGTCAGGAGGACAAATAAGAAGCAAGAGAACGGCAAGTACCTTTACATCATTCTCTAAAATAAGCAGGATGGATGTTATATCTCCATTTTTACAGATGAGAAGAACACAGGATCAAAGATGAGTAGTTTGCCCAGAGTCACATAGCAAGTGAGAGACAGAGACAGAGTTTGAACTCTGGTCTGATACCAAAACCCACATCCCTTTCTCTATACCAGCTTCCCAAACAGAACATCACAATGACCTAGGGAGCTTTAGGAGATACAGATTCCTAGATCTTAACTTTGGCGTGTCTGACTCATCAGGTCTGGAGGTGGGGCTGGGCATTTTATAAAGTTTCCCAGGTGCTGTTAAGATGCTACTAAGTTTGAGAAC